GTAGAAAATCGCAACGACACTGCCGATACGGCCATGGCTCGTCATGATGGCGGACTCTCGTCTACGAAATCCGACGCTCCACCAGATTACAGGGTTCATGCGTCTGAGCAATCAGCCGAGACTCCACAGGGAGTCGTTCCTGTAGTGGGAGACGATGCCCATACGGCCGCAGTTCTTCCTTAGAGCTCGATCATAGCGGATCCAGTGGTTGGGGGGGGGGGGGGAAGGCAGTGCATACGTCCCACGCCTCAGTCCCATAGAGTCGCTCCGCGACGTTATGGAATCCCTCGCCATGTCGGCCGAGGTAGAGGAGCTTGAATTCGGTGTCGGGGTCCGCGTGGACGTTTAGGGAGTGCAGTTTATATGCAAAGCGTTCCCATTGCGTCTTGTTGCGGTGCGGGTCGAAGGAGGCGTCTGTGTCGTAGGGTTGCGTTTTGAGGCCAAATGCACTTGTTGCCTGTTGATTTTGTGTCCGCATGTACGGGGTGGTTGATCAGCTGAGATTGTTTTTTCCTTTTGAAATGTACATGTGTATGCACGATTGATGTTGCATTTGAGGGACTGGGTGGAGGACTCACGTAGTCGAAATCAGCGGGGTCGGTGTCGGGGTCGTCTTGCAGGAAGTAACCAGGAACGGTGCTGTACTCGAAATGCGGGAGAGCCAAGGGATCGTATCCTCCCATGGCGGCGAAGGCGATGAGGATGGTGACAGCGAGGAGGACGGGGCTGGACACGATGGTTAGTTGGATTTATTTATTTATTTATTTATTTATTTATTCTTTCGGTATAACTCTCCGCCTCTTTTTATAACCGTTGCTGCAGCGCCTTCTTTCATTTTCATTCCGCCAACTTGGCTCTGAAGGTGGATAGGAGCGACAGATAGAAGTAACTTTAGCCACTAACCAGCGGCAGGAGATCGACAGTAGCACTTCAAAATAAAGGCAATAGTTGGGTCGAGAGAGGTCCTAACTTACATGACAATCTCAATACGGAGAGACCTTTCCAACCTCCTCTTTAATCTTTGCCTTCGTTGCAGACCGTCCGAGAAATCGAGCATTTGTCAACGATCCGGGGGCCGGGGGGGGTGGGTGAAGCGGGAAGCCTAATCAACGGCCACAACCCCGCAGCTAGTTTAGTTAACTGGTGCAAGTGTGTGTCGTGCAGGGCTTGGGATGGACTGGGCTGGACGTGTCTCTGTTAAGGAGCTCCAGGACTTCATCCAGCCACGAACAGGAGAGAGTCTTATCCCAGCTGCCGGGAGGGGGGGGGGGGGGTTCCCTGAAACGAGTCCAGCTGTGATTAGCTGCTCCGAGATATCCAGTTAGTTAGACAGAAACATACGAGCGTTGAATTGCCCGATTCGGGATATTGTGAGGCTGGAGATAACGTAAGTAAGCCACCCCCCTAGCAAATGCAAGCAAATCCAAGATCTCAGTTAATTAACCAGCAATAACTAACTGACTGGTTTGCTGAACTACCAGATTGCCCGCGATGCTAACAAGGAGCCTGTTTGATACCTAGCAGCAGCTCTCTATCCTAGTGTCCCTCTTTTCCTTCTTTTCGTTTGTTGCTTCTCTTCTTCAAACAACTGCAAATAGTCAGTCAGTCAGTCAGTCAGTCAGTCAGTCAGTCAGTCAGTCAGTCAGTCAGTCAGTCAGTCAGTCATTCAGTCAGTCAGTCAGTCAGTCAGTCAGTCAGTTTAGTTAGTTACATTTCTCGATGAGAGTAGAGTAGTGTGCTGTCGTCAGAAATGCATCGTCTCCCCGGGACGCAGCTGACTTGAACCGCAGCGGTAACTAGTTAGTAGTTAATTAACTAATTAACTAATTCAGGGAACAATCTGAAAAAAGCCAGCTGCTCGGCGACCCTTGGACTCTCACATACATGCCTTTTCATTCCTCCTCATCCTGGATTCCTTTTTTTTCCTTTTTACTAACAAACATCTTGCCTCCTGGATTCATATTGTTTACAACGATTTGCCTTTGGTTGCCTGTTTTCTCTGTCTCACAGCTACCATTGGGAAATCGCCCAGCTAGGGCATACCAGATCAGTCTTCTGCCACAACTCTCATTGTCGCGTTATGTCAAAACACATATGGAGATTCCATTGTTTTGTGGTGACTCTTAGAGGTCAACCTGTTGTGAACTCATATCAGGGTCATTCACCACTTGTCCTGGGCGTTGACAACTGGTTGGGATGTGGTAGGGCATCATCTCAACTATACTCCGGCATGGATGGTGCGACTGGGGCTGTTGACCTCAGGTAGCGGAGGCATAGAAGGCTCGTATATTTAAAGGATTACTCTCGTGTGAAGGGATAGTTATGGATATTGAAAGGGGATCGATCCTATGACCAAGCTCGACCCAGGCACGGCACCTTTGTCTGTACTTTTGCTCTTATGATCCCTTTTTCTTTTTGCTGCTCTTCAAACAATAGCAGTCATGCTCTAATTCTAAGGCTTCTTGTTTTGTTTTTTAAAAGACGGTTTTCTCTTTTACAGTTTGGGAGTTATTCCGATGACAAAACCTGTTATATATATCATCCTTGCGTTAAGGATGTTCAAACAATCTGGATCTTTGTCGTTCCGATTCTTTCAGCTATGGATAGGAGGAGTGAAACGTCTTTGGCTTCTATTTTCCTCCCTCGCGCTGTACATTTTGGGATTTTCTTTGGCTCGCGTAGAGGGATTCCTTTACTTTTGTCTGGTATTAGAACTTCCCGTGCCTTAGTGCCCTCCTATGTTTTGGAGAATGCCTTTATACACGGCTTCACTCTTAATTCCTTGGCTACATTCCCACGCCCATCAGGACGACCCCGAGATATCCTTCAAACTTCCACTTACTGTGCTGTCTACTGCACTGGCATTCTGGGATGTGCCATAACTCTGGCTTGGGATTCTGAGAGAAGTCTGCTGCCTGAGTTACTCAGAGACTCACCTGGCGCATTCGAATTGGGGGGGGGGGGGGGGGGGAAGTAGATTCACTACCTCTCCGCGTCATTCCCTGGCGGGCATATCATAATCGCCGTCGACTCTTTCAAGAGTGATTCTTCACAAAGTTTTGAGCACAGGAAATAGCAAGTTGCCATCACTGGAAGTGTGATCGTGTCTTGATGAAAATTCCAACACTTATAAGCTTTCCGTTTTCTCTGCTCTTTCGTTCTTACTCTCAACTTCTTCTTCTGCTCTCCACCGAACTCTCTTCGGAAGACGTCTTCCTGTACATGGATTCGATTCGATACTAACCTCTTCCCTTGTGTCCACCTTGGCCCTTTCACACCTCGTATTTACCCTGAGCTCCTTGGTGACTCCCTGCTCCCTGCTATCTTGATACAAGGTTCAAAGATCTAATCCCCTCATAGGAGATGGCAACATCCATGCCAGAGCATTTCCAAACACCAACCCCCTGCCAGTTCAGCGGTGAGGCATGCTCCACTGAGTCAAACCACTATCGTAAAGTGATTTCACATATTTTCGGGAGAAACAAGAAATGTACAGTTGGTATTCCGCACTATGTATGGATATACTACTGCCGGAAGCACTACCAACGTGCGCGCTACCGGACCGCAGAGTGGCCTTTCCGCCAGTGCGACCTGACCGTCGACACCATCCAGAACATGCGGGAGTGGGGTGGCGTGGAGAGCTTCAATATACAGCTCCGTCGACGAGAAACCCAACGCACGGGTCTGCAGGCCAACCTGAATGCTGTTGGTGACCAAGTTCAGGAGAAGCAGGACGAGGACGACGACGACGACGACGATGATGATGATGACGACCAAGATCAAGTCGATCAGGGCAAAGACGAGGGCATGCCGGACATCAAGACAGAAGAGCAAGAGGCTGTTCATACATCTCCGATCACGAGGCACGGGGGTTTTACCCCAATCAACACCCCACAGGCCAGCCCTCCTGTGAAGAGGGATTCGGATACTGAAGACTACAATGAGGAGGAGGAACTCCAAGCCACAGCGCAGACCGCTCGAACAGCACTACTCGCGAAAAAGAAACGCAGTCCAACTATCATCGCGCGCCCGGTCCCCGACTGGCTCGTCTGTCACGTCGGCAAGAACAAGACCTTCGACGAGATCCTCGCCGTCCTACGCGACCTCCGCACCCACCTAACCCAAGTGGCCCAGCGAGACCAAATCCCTCACTTTCCAGATATCGAAATCCTGCCAAACCTACATCCCCGTGCCGCCGCAACCCGTCGCCCCGTCCGTCGTGGTTCTCGTCCCACTATTCGTCCCCGTCGTGACTCAGTTGATGCCCCTGGAGCTGCTGTTATCGCTGCCACTACAGCTTCTATCTCCACCGATCCAGACCCCGGCCCATGTATTTCCACTCGCACCAAACGCAGTGCTCCCCGTCTCACCCTTCAACCCCTCACTGCTCTCAGAGAAACAGCCATCGCTCAGAAGACGCCTACAATCGAAGCTCTCCCTAAGATACACCACCGTGCAACTCGACCCAGCGTCCGACTACCCTCTGGACCCAGTGGTGTCCACGCCAGCACGGAAGTTGGCTGTGATCATGGTGACGACGATGCAAGCAATGATTCCGTCAACTTCGCTATTCGTCGCGCGGCTCGTGGAACCAAGATGGCCGGCAATCGGGGTCGGCGGTCCGTGAGGGTTTCTGATCACGGTGCGGTGAAGAAGGTGGAGAAGGGATAAAAGACGAGCGAACAAACGGGAAATGAGACAACTACCGGTTTCAGATGGTCTAGGGTTGACGTGGCTGTATTGCCTATAGTACAACAGTGTGAGGAGAGCAGAGTAAGGCGGGAGGTATATTAAACATGTTTGTTTGAGGAATCAGATGGTGCTACTGTTCCTCCATTCTCTTTCAGGTATTAACAGCTAAATGTGTCCTCATCACTTTTTTGGTAAGTTTTCCTTTTCTCATATTTCACCACCACCTATATTTCTTGTTTAATTGGTTTCTTGCCTTGTGTTGTTGGCCGCTAAAAGCAACATTTCAGTTTTTCCCCTTTCAAGTCACAGGTTTTCGTGACCCATTCACTCACCACACTTTGTCAGTTATTTATAGTTTTTTTGCGGGTCCTTAAATTCCCTTGATCATTACCAGTCAGCCTCAAAGTTTGCTTTCTTTTGTGTTTTCTTTATCTATGTGTTTTCTTTATCTATGTGCTTTCTTTATCTATGATACTTCTGATCACACACACACACACACACACACTTCCACGTTTGCGGCGTCTGTGTTCGGGCCTTTTTTCTTAGTGTCACCCAGGGAGATTAGTTTTATGATCCGATATCATCGACCATATTCCACTATTTGGTTTTACCATTTGCTTTACATCCAATACAGGTCATGGTTATGTTACTGATCCATCTTGTTGGTCCTTGTCACTTCTACAACTTCTACTATTTCCCCCCAACTTCTGATCTTGGGCGATATTGATAATCCATTTGTATTCCATTGGATTTGGCTGTGAGGTAACTACACCATTGCTTTATTTTTAGCAGCACTCGGCGTGTGGAATACTCTGTTCCCATGATATATCCGTCATATGCATTGAGCAGAAAGGTTTACGCCTTTTATTTTCCTTTATTTTAATTGCCTCAAAATATGCAGATGCGCTTCTCTGGCTTTTTGGTTGGTACTCTTGTGATGCTTTTAGTGTCTTCAAATCACAGTGTTTTGACTTTTCTTAGCGCCCAGCCATTTCCATCCTTATAGATGTGTTTTATATCTGAAAGAGAGGCTTTATGCATTCTCCTTGTATTTACATGAAAGCTAGTAGATACTTGAGTGAATTATTTAGTTTAAGTATAATTAAATTTAAGTAAAGGATAGCGTTCAAGAGCTCTCATATATAACTAGAGGAAAACGAGCAACAAGGACTTTGGGTTTGAAAACGTTGGGTTCTTAAATTTTGGGAGGGCGCTGATCGCCGATGCCTCCTGGAAGTTATGGAGGGATGATAGTTCTCTCAGGACAGCCCAACAATCGAATCAGGGCCCGTCTTAATAAGGTTGGATCGATAAACAGGATCACCAACCCGGGATGTAATTAGCGCTCCAATGCAGCGTGTGCATCTTTTTGCATTTTTGAAAGGGAAGACACTGCGGTAGCTAGGTGAGAACTGAAATGATCTTGAAAAATGGTCTTGTGTATGGATGGGTGAAGCTTTAACTACTAATACTTTACTTTTCTGAAAGACAATGCTATTTACTCTTCTATTCTTGGCCTCATCTACCCTCGTTAAGGTATTGTATTGATATTTCAAATTGCTGCACCGCACCGTTGTGAGGTTAAACGCCGTTTGTTGGCCCAGGTGCCTCATTCAGGGAACAACTGGTCCTCAAATTGCCGTTCACCTACCTGGAGCTGGAGCCAATGATCACTGGCTTGTGGAATATTGTGTCGCATCAGCAACCGGCGTGTCAAATTGCTGCATGCCAACATCCCAGGCATATTGTGTTACTCCAGCACCTGGCGCGTTGACCTGTTGCATGCCACGGTGTTGCGTATCAACGAGCGGGTTCTGCGAGTTCTGCGCGTTTGACCTCCTTTTCTCTAATTCAAAATGTGGAGCTACGGACTGACTCCCACTCTCTATGGAAGGCATTCTCGGTAACGTAACGTACCCCATGTTTCTGGCCTACCTGATTCCTCTCGGGTTATGTTGGTTTGTTTCGCACGTGCCATACAAATTCCGTGTCTAGGGAATCCGTGTCGTATTGTCTTGATATGGGCTTGGTGCGGGTAAGCTTGTAATAGTTGAGGTGCTTATTCCAATCTGAAATTTGTCAGATAGTCCTTGATGGTCATTGATATTCTTTTCGAAATTTTTCGAAGAGTTGGCAGATCCAAGTTGCTCCCTGTAACACTGTGCGCGCCTTTCTTCTTTCTTTTTCTTTTCTTTTCTTTTTATTTCTTTTCCTTTTTCTTTCTTTTCTTTTTTCTTTTTTTTCCCCCCCCCCTGGGAGGCAGTTTCAAGGAGGATACAGCCCGGATATGCTTTCAATTCCAGCTACCAACTTGTGGTGAGTTCGTGGGTCGAGTTTGAGACGATGAAGGGCTGACATATTCCTCACGGATTTGCATATATGCCATTGATAGTGAATCCAGCATGGAGGAGGCATGCAAATGTTCTATGTTGTTTTCAATCGATATCCATTTTCTCCGTCCAATCCTAAGGTGATCTGCTTAGCTGGGAAGAATTTGCTCTCTTTTATCAGCATAATTAATCATCGCACTGCAATGGATTCCAGGGAAAGAGGCATGCAGGGGGGCTTGATTTAAGCCCTTATTTGCCCCTGGAGTAATGTGTATGTAACCTCAGGTGTTGCTTTTTGGTCTCTTCCGTCGGGAGCTGACACAAATCTTCTCCGTGACACTGACTAGAATCCTTGAGAGCATCTTTGTGGGCTTCCGAGGTTCAATGAATTCCTGGTGGTTCTTCTTGTACGTCGAATCCGGGGCTCTCACTTCTTCAGTAAATTCGAAAACTTTGATGGAACGACTACACGCCGTATAAGTTGACATACTCCATCTGCTGGGAATCATAAAAGCAGAAATTCGATAGGCTCGTGCCCGCCAGAACATTCTATTGCTTTTAGATCAAGCAACTGCCTAGGTTCTGATATTCAAAGCACTGCCAATTCTTTGAGCACCTCTGACTTTTTTCGTCAAGCTGCTACTTCTCAGTTATAGTGGCAAGTGAGAAAATCTAGTCATCAGATAAGGCTTGACCTTTCGATGTGAAACTGTGAAAGGATTTTCATATCTTGTGACATGGTGTGAGTTCTGGTGCCGATTGCTGCAACAAAAGCTCTGTATCATCCGGAGAATCGCATATGGTCTTCAGAAAATTTCCAATATCCTAGATATTCGTTTCTAGATTACTAGCAGATTAGTGGTAATTCGCTTCCGCTATAAGATCTTGGAGCCCGAACCGTTCTGATAGTTTTGACCTGGATGGTCTGTAACAGCCAAGGACCCTAGTGAATCAGAATGGAATATTATAAATCCCTAAGCGCTTTGCCCGCTGTGAAGCTGACCGAACCCGCCAAAAATCTAGGAGATATTACTATAGTGATTCCTAATGAAGATGTCACTGCCCGAAGAAGCGGCGGAGACTGAGGACCTAGTCAGATCTAGAATTACTCTTTGCCGATCAAGGGATTGGGATGCCTGGGTTAGTTACCCAGGTGAAGTCAGAAGCTTACAATCACAAGGCGCATCTCTAAATCCCTCGAGTGCTGCATCGCTGAAGTTGGATGGAGAGAGGAAATTCCTCATGCAACTGCCATGAAAATCTGCTGAAAGGGAACATTCCAAAGGCAACTGAAATTGGGAAAAAGCAGAAAAGAGCAAGAAGGAAAGTAAATTTTTTTTTTTTTTGGAAATTTTATCATTCACGTTTTTATCTCCAATTTTCTCCAAAGAGAAATGGCAAAGACCAAAAAAAAGGAGAAGAAAAAGGAGGAATATAGAGAGAGCTGACTGTGCAGGAAAAAGATAATAACGTCTCACAACTTCACAACTGCTGATTGTCACATCAACACTATTCTCTAATAATGCTATGAATGAGTATCTTCATCATGACTATAACACTGACCCTGATCCAAGTTTTGAATTCTATGTTGAAGTGATGTGATGAGGATCAGCATGCCAATGAGGGGCAATTGACCCAATATACTGAGCACGGAATCAGGAATCCGACGTATACCAAGTTGTAACAAGAGTTTGCAATGAAACAGGTTCCGATGATTGGAGGGCAATGGTCGACTGCTATTCGCCAAAACATTCGACCCTCAATGGAGGGCAAGATATGAATGGGGGCCAGAAAATCCGCACGGGAAAACGCCTGTAAACGGCTCTTGAACTTAGAAGAAAGGAAGAGTTTTGAGAACTGATTTCTGATGTACAACAAAATCAGAGGTGTGAAGGAAATGGGCCTTTGCATTCGCACGATCATCAGACGACGGAATCCCGGGGACTCAAGCAGCTACATTAGCTACCTGTACATACAACGGCTGATACAGAATTTAAACCATGCTTGAAGAGCAGTGGTTGGCTTGTTGAAAACCGTTCCCGGTCAGACGGAATTTCAGCACCCCAATTATATCCACAGTTGCAGCAACCAAAGGGGAATCGCGGGGCTCTGCCGTGGGCTGTGAGCAAGTCCCATGATGGCACTGGTTCGGAGGACAAAGTAAGTTCCTGACTTGAATCCTGACGTTTTTTAATGTTCAGTTTTGAAGCAAAGCAAAGTGGAACGTCGAGGGTTCAACAGGTGTGCTTAGTCAGGGCTGACTGAGCAGCTGAAGTCCCTCTGGTAGTTAACTACGTAAAATCAAACGTACCAATATATTCAACAACAGACAACGTCGAGCTCAATCAATACAGCATCAAAGCATTGCAATGATCGATGTGGTTGATGGTTAGTGGTTTCTTGGGGGATTGAGTGCTTGCTGCAGATCGTATTTTATCTGCGATTCTTCCTCAGTTCATCTCGATTGTATTCTTTATCCCTGACATGGAGCCTCTGGGGCTGGATTCAGAGGCAGCATCCAGAGCACACCCACAACCTAATCATAACAAAGTCTCTTCCTTCTTGACAGTTATAGTTTGATCTGTTCTCTAGGTGATGAGGCTGAGTTACGCAGCCTTATGAAAAATCATTCTTTCTCTTGTGTTTTCGTGTTGAGCAACCTTGTGATTGTGTCTGATGTTGTTTTGTTGTTTCTTCCGTTTCTTTCCTTACAAGACCTACCTAAACTCGCAGAAATACAAAGAAGATTGTTTTTTGATCTCAGGAAGCCCCTATTTTGGTATTATTTCTCCTTTTTCTTTTTCTTCTTCTTCTTCTTCTTCTTCTTCTTCTTCTTCTTTTTCTTCAAATTCAAATGGCTTCTTTCTATTCGCGGCCTCGAACGTCTGCAATTCCAATCATTGACCCGTCTGGCCAGCAAGTCTCTGTTCAGGGCTTGAGTCGTACTGCTTCCGCAAGTATATCGCAAAATCAGTCAAGAGCACAGACAAATGGTGTTCAACCTGCTGTATCTAGTAGCTCACCAGGCCAACATCCTTCGATTCAGGCTTATTCAGCTAGTTATGGAGCCCCAGGAATAAGTTCAAGACTTCAAAACAGCCGCCTTGGGTTCCAGGGATATCAACTGGGTTATCATCTTGAGCGAAGGTGGGAGACATTCACGGAAGAACCCTACCAATTGTCCCATAACTCACACTTCCCTGCATCGCCAAGTCATAGACCCATGTACGATGGCACCAACCAACCAGGCGGTCGTTCGATACCCTGGAAACCAGATGTATATGCCAGTAGTTACGTTCCATCGCATCTTCTCGCCATTAATCGATCACCAGCAGTGGACAGGTATAGCACTCTTCTGAAGACCATCGATTTCTCGAGCTATGTTACTAAGTTTTCAGGGTCGTCCGTTCTGGAGCCCTTGCCTGTTGAAAATTTACCCGCACTAAAGGATGTTCCGGTCTCGATATCCCGCCACACCAAGAATTTGACGCCAGCCTCCTATCTTTATTACTTCGATGAATGCCTTCTCCTGGAAGGGATGAACTATTCTCAGGAGCTGGGGAAATACAACCTCTACAACGCTTTACTTACTCCAACCGATGGCAGACAGAATCTTTACAGCTTGCATGTCCCTGGTCTCAAAGATGGTGCTCCAACAGTTGGGCTAGGAGATATTGTACTGGTTCGACAGATATTACCATTTCCGCAGCTCGCCCAGCAAGGAAGCGAATGGCTGAGCCAAAACAACACGAACCTCACAGGTTCCATTGCACCAGGATTTTCGGGGCATCAACTTCACGCCGTTGTATGGGGGATATCTATGGCGAAGGAGATGCTCATTCTCCGAATAGATCATCTTTTGCCATCATCTCGCCTCTGCAATAGCCAATTTACAGTCCGGCCTGATCTCTTTGTGCCTCTCTGGAGAGCAGTTGTTGATGTTACCGATGGCCGGCCGTGGCATCATGAAGATGTCAAAAACGAGCTTGCGGGGTCGCTTGAGAACAAAGAAAATTGGCTGCGGCATATGCTATTCCCAGAACCTAAGGATGCTGCATTGCAAACAAAACTTCCGAAGGGGTCATTTGAACACGAGTGGGTGGATAGAGATCTTAATTACGAACAGATGAAGGCAGTCGATTCTATCATAACTCGCAACTTTGGTACTATTCCCTTCCTGATATCCGGAGTGCCTGGGTCCGGAAAAACGAAAACTGTGGTTGAATGCACCCTACAACTCCTGCGCCAACAAGATAGAGTACAACATCATATTTTACTCTGTGCGCCATCCAACCCAGCGGCAGACACGCTCGCAATACGTCTAGCTCAGCATTTACAGCCTTACGACTTATTCAGATTAAATGGATGGTCACGGACGTTCGCGGAAGTCCCCGACAAGCTGTTGCCATACACCCATACAGAGTTTGACCTCTTTTCACTGCCAGATTTTAAGAAGATGATGAGCTACAAGGTAGTCGTAACGACCTGCCAGGAAGCACACATGCTTGTTAGGGCTCGGTTGACCAATCAAGACCTAATGAAATTGGGATACGAGATGATTAGTGCTATTTGCCCAGGGACAAAACCAAGGCCACAGGAAATGCTTCACTGGACTGCTCTTATTGTGGACGAGGCGGCGCAAGCTACAGAACCAATGGTCTGCGTTCCACTAACGGTAGTTGCGACACCATTATGTATCAGGGAGCCCATTGACGGGACTAGTCCAAGGTCTTCTCTACCACTATTCGTCATGGCAGGGGATGAGCACCAGCTAGGCCCCCGAGTTTCAAACACCAACACTGCACTATCAGTCTCGCTCTTCGAGAGACTCCTTTCACGCCCAGTTTTTGCCGACCACCCTCTTTCCCGCCGAAATGCTGGACCCTACAAGAAACTAACACAGGATATGCTCCCAATTCCACGACCGGCCTTTACAAACCTTACCCGCAATTACCGCTCTCACACCTCTATACTCGCCATGCCATCCGTCCTATTTTACAGCGACACACTCATCCCATCCGCCACTCCGGCCCACCCAGACGGACCGGTCCCATCCTGGCCAGGCTGGAAAGCCCCACACCGCTGGCCCATCCTCTTCGCCTGCAACACCTCGCCCGACGACGTCGAAGAAGTCATCCGAAACCCCGTTGGCAGCGGCTTATTTAATGCTGGCGAGGCCCTCAAAGCTCTACATTTTGCACAGTCTCTCCTCGCCCACTCCGCCAGCCTAACCTATCATACCAAACCCCAAAAGTCCAGATCCAAGTCCAGATCCAAGTCCAACAGCACCCACCAAAAACCACTAGCCCCTTCAACAACCTCTGCCCGCCCAATCACCGAGCAAGAAATTGCCGTAATAACCCCCTTCCTCACGCAGGTGACGCATCTCCGCCGCCTCTTCCGCCAGCACAACCTGCACTCCGTCAACATTGGTCCCGTCGAGGCATTCCAGGGCCTCGAATCGCGCTTCTTGATAATTTGCACAACACGCACGAGGGCTGAGATGCGTTTTATCGAGCAGGACCAGTCGTTGGGCTTGGGACTGGTGGGAGAACGAAGGCGATTCAACATGGCCATGACACGGGCGAAGGAGGGGTTGATCGTCATTGGAAATCCGGATGTGTTGGTTGGTGTTTCTAAGGATGAGACGTGGAGGGAATTTTTGAACTTCTGTGCGCGCAATAAGTGTTGGGAGGTTGATGGACGGAGCGAGGAGGCGAGGAAGAGTACGCAGGCGTGGGCCGATAGGTTGGCTGGGAATCATCAACGTGGTGGAGGTGTGCAGAATGGAGTTGATATTAATGGTAATGGTGATGGTGGGGCTGGCGTGGAGGGTGGGGAGGATGATATTAGACTCGAAGGGTACGTGAGTCGTTTGGAGCGGAGGTTGATTTACGCGGAGAATGCGGAGGGCGACGACGATGGTGATACTGATGGTAGCGATGATGATGATGATGATGAGGGTGGTTCTGATTCTGGGCGGGTGGATGGGGAGGCTTTAGGGAATGGAGCTAACAGTGGTGTTGGGCCGAGAAGGAGGAAGAAGTGGAATAGTCGGCTAGGTAAAGAGCGTCGTGCGCATGATGACTATGATGCGGCTATGTGGACAGCTGGGATTGCAGCGGAGGAGGTGTTGAGGGGTTCACTGGATGATTGAGTTGCGGTGTCATACTTTATGTCTCGCTCTTTTCTCACTTTTTGTTTTTATTTTTATCTTCTATTTCTTGCTACGGACGGAGGACATTTGAGCAATTACGAGGCTGGGGGTTGGCTTTCTTTGCTTTTCATTTCTTGTTTCTCTTTCTGTTTCTTTCCTTTTCTTCCTTTGCTTTCCTCCCATTCCTTCCTACCGTTCCGTTTCTGATATTTGCAGATGATCACAATGTGGACCGACATCAATACGATCGCCACAGGAAGCTGCATTTATTAGCCTAGCTAACTCTCCCAACCCTATCGCAAACCTTGTCAAGAGGTAGGGCAAAGCTCAAGACCACTTGGGGAGGGATGCAGGAAAAGCGAGCAACCAAACCCTCAAAAATTCTAGAAAAAGCCACTTAAAAAATAAAAAAAAATAGAATAAAAAATAAAAATTTAAAAAAAATATATATAAGAAAGTTAGATAGAAAATACCAATACAAAAAACAAAAAATGAAAAGGGTAGATGAATGCCTCCTGCATCACCACGCATCAGATAGAGGGGAACTGCCACGATTCAATAAAGTCAAGGACATGCTGTTACTAACCTACTACAGAGTAAGCGGAACTTCCCTCTTGCAGAATGAATGAGATATTGAATGTGGTAGGAATGATGTTGAGGAGTACAATTTCAGGTCTAAAACTGATTGAATACTAAATTTATAATATATTTTATTCGATGTTGGACAGACTCTATATACACAGACAGACAGACGTTGGTCGATGTTGAAGTTGAAAAGGTTGTTGACGTTAGGACCCACGTTATTCCCGATCCGACGAGCGCTAACCCATAACAGGCCCGGACTAACCATGCTCCGGGTGATCCAATGAGGTTCAACCGAGTGATGACTCAGCCAAGGAGGCTGGGGAGCCCGAGGACTTCAGATAACAACCTCAACGACGAACAAGACAGCATTCATTCAACCTCGATACTCAACAACTCCGGCAATTACATGTACAACATCGACTCTGTGCAGGCCAAACCTGCAGGTGGGGGATAAGAGCAGATCCATGGCAATCTTGCTTCGTTAGCCGTTGGCAGCAACTTGCCAGCAACTTGCAGGGAACACCAACTCACAATCAAGGAACATTGGAACCCTTGGAATTCCTCCTGACTTTCACCTCGACTTGCCCCATTCCAGCCAATCCGCAGCTGTATCTGCCGCAATCCTCCTCGCCTAGGACTCCTTCTCGCTCTACTAAATAACGTCTCTAACAGTTTTGCTCCACTCCTTGGCTTCTTGAGCCCCGTCAGCGTCATTCCCAGCCTCTTTTGCCTCTCGACCGCGCAAACCAAAACACTAGGACAAAAATTAAATAATCATCGTTTCGCTCCTCGCATATGGACAGCAATCATTCTCCCCAAATCCCTATTCTTTATTATCACTCATTCTTTCGAGGACTGGTTTCTTTTGAACCACCCTAGTCGCTCGCTCACTCACTCACTCATTCTCATTCTCATTCTCTCTCTCTCAGCTTTTAGCAGACAACGCTTCCTCTCATTCTAACCGGCTACGTTACTTATCCACTCATTGGACAATTAGATAACTGCATTTGTGCTCCCTGTCATTATTGGCCCTGGCTGTGTAGCTGCCCTCCGTCTTCCCATTTATTGTCCGAAAGACGCATGCAGCGACAACGCGTGCAGTTAACCACCATATTGCCTATTCCATTTTTGCTAACATAACACCGCTCGTTTACCCACATTTGTACAACCGCTTTTTCGAAAAAGAAGACTACCTTTCTTTTCAACAAGCCAATTTCGTTATTTTCATAAAGCGGAAAAGGAACCCGACCTTACCAGCCCTTCTGAAACTTTTGCTGCATAGCATTCACCCGCAATCATGGTTGCCAAACTGACAAAGGTGTCCCAGCTGCCACAGCATACAGCTGGCATCTTTGCAGATATGTCAATAGACGGTCCACCAATAGGGACTCTGGTTGTCATTATTGACCGGGCGAAAAACCTGCCCAATAGGAAAACCATGGGCAAGCAGAATCCGTACTGTGCCGCGCGGCTGGGGAAGGAGGCAAAGAAGACGGAAACGGATATGCGGGGTGGCCAGAGGCCAAAATGGTAAGCAAATGGAATGATCTCATCTGATTTGCTTTCGTTTGATTTAATTCATCTTATCCAATTTATAACGATGCTTGTTTCTTTACTACGTCTAGGGATCAAGAGTTGCGGTTCACAGTGCACGAATCGCCCGATTACTATCAATTAAAGGTATCCGTCTTCAACGACGATAGGAAGACTGACCTGATCGGTGAAACTACTATCGATCTCAAGAATGTTGTGGTTCCAGGTGGTGGGCAGAATGACCTCTGGCATGGATTGCAGTGCAAGGGGAAATACGCTGGGGATGTCAGGATCGAGTTGACCTACTATGACACCCGACCTAAGGACGAGGCGGTAATCGAGCGGAGAAAGGAAGCGGAGAAAGTAGAGACAAGAGCAGAGACGGTACAGTCAGGACTCTCCGGTCCTCGCCAAGCAAAGCCCTCGAAGCGAAGACCTCTGCCCGCGGATCCCACCGGCTCGTCTCCTGTCCGTCCACCGTCGTCTGATCGTGTTGCTCCTCCCCCTACAGCTTTACGGGAGAACCATTCTACACCTTCTCGACAAGCAATACCAGAACCACCTCCCCAGTCAACGCCTCCTTCTCAACCCCAGCGAGCCTACGAAACGCCCGATGATTTTCAGTGTCAATGGGGTCCCACACCCCCCAAAATTATCTCGAAACACTCGACCCCTACACATCAGTCCTATCAAAATTCATCCCCTGGAGAAATTCAAGAGCTGCCGGTCGATCAGTACGGTCGTCGTTCCCAGCATCCCATCACTTCTCGAGAAATGGCCTACCCCCAAGTACCTGAATATACCCACATTACTCACCACCAGCCACTCGACCATAGCCCGCCACATAACATAGGTCAAAATGTCTACGACTATCCCCCGGAGCCACCCCCAATCCCTCCGCCCCGAGACTGCTACCAGACCCCACCACGACAAACGACCTATTCCATGCAAACACCAGACCGCTACAATACCTCCCCTTCCTACCCGCCACCATCTCGAGGCTCTTCCTACGCAGCCACAGACTCACCGCAAACACAGCAATCCCCGGAGCCCCCAACCAATGCCAGCCCAAACGATCGACGGAGCCACTACCACCGCTACAGCACCTCGCACGCCAACAACGATGTCTTCCGCGACAGCCCGCTCCGCCATTCCTTGAATAACCTTGACTTCCCGCCGCGCCAGGAATACATGCAGCCGCACTTACAGAATGAGGAGGAAGAGGGACCACCGCCCCCACCGCCCGTTCATCGGCAGATTTTCCACTCACAACAACATTTACAACAGCTTCCTACACTGCCGTCGGTAACAGCAGACTACGGTCATAATCAAAATGCCTTGGGACCAATACCCATGCCGGAACCGCTGAGTATAGGACCCGGGCGAACGTCGCCACTGCCCCTGCCTGTTGGTGAGCAAGGGCAGCAATATATCGCGTACTCATCAAGCTATCACAGCCAGAATTTGAGCTTCTCGTCGGTAGATAGGGAGCCTGTATCGGCGTATTCGTCGTCTCCTACGCCTTCATACATGAATGCACATGCAAATACAAATGTAAACAGTTATGCTCGAGACAGGATGGCAGCAGCCCCCGTCCAAGAACAACCCGGCACGTCGGATGGAGATATAAAGGTTATTGCCAGTGTACCGTCGGCATTAGTACCAGGATATAAAGCGGCTGTTCCTGAAGAAGCTGAGCGAAGCATGATATATCACAATAACAGCTATGTCTCACCACCCCCACAACCACAGCCGCACCAACAACCACCATCACCACAACCGCAACCACAACCCCAACCCTCCCGCACATCCCCGCGCCCTCCGGACCTCCGCTCCATCCCCGCCCGCAAATCCGTCTCGCCGCACCCCCACCAACCACCAGCACCACGCGACCCCACAAATCCAAGCCTACCCGGCATCCCCTTTTCCCCTGACAGTTACAACGCCCTAAACCCCTCCGTCTCCACTGCCTTCACCAGCATATCTTCCTCCATCCCCACATACCAAGAATCCACCCTTGAAGCCGACCGCCAGCGCGAGGTGGATAAACTCCGCGATCTGGGTCCGATAATCGGCGATGACGGCCGCGTTATTGATCCTTCGGATCATTTGCCGACAGATACGTGGGCGCCAGAGCCGGAGAGGAAGTTTGCTACTGTTTCGGGGAGTGGTGGAGCAGGGGGAGGGAAGAGGGCGGAGGTTGTGGTGCGGTTTAAGCATGCTGGTCAGAGAGATAGTGCCAGCGTTGGTAGTGGGGTGAGGGGGAGGGCGGTATCTATGATTGGCGTTAGTGGTAGGGTTGGGAATGGTAACCGGCAAACACGCGCTAAGTTGCAGAAGCGGGAGACGCCGCAGCCGGCACCAGCCAGTGCCACTTCTAGGCCACAGTCATATATACACGTACAGCACAGCCATGAAACCACACCATCCCCGCGCGCCAGCGGCATCATCACCAATAATAATACCAGCAGCATAACTACCACCCCTCTCCGCTCCCACGATCCATACGGCTACAACGGCACCCCCACCGCCTCTACCAGTGCCCACAGTCCTAACATCCGAACCTCCCCGTCCCCCTCCAGCTTCTATAACCCTTCTCCAACCGGCCCGCCGATCCCGGCGAAAGTCCCCGTGCAACCGTCTGCTTCTTACGGCGGTGGGGAGATGGATGCATTTAGCGAGGAGTTGAGGAGGATTGATATTGGGGTGGGATCTGGTGGGTGTGTAGGTGGAGGTGGGAGGAGAGGGAGGTTGTCATATGTCGGGACGGGGGGGAGGGAGGGTTGAGGTGTTGATGTGTGTGTATGAGTTGTGTTTTTTTTTTTTTTTTTTTTTCCTTTTCTCTCGTGTGTGTGTGTTTTGTTTTTGTGTTGCTTTTTTCTTCTTTTGTGGAGGGGTTGGGTGTTGGGTTGTTCTACTGAACGGAACGGGTTGGGATATTTTGTGATGTGTTATGTTCCTCGTATGAGTTTAGGTTGATGGATATTACGCTTATTTTATTTCTATTTTGCCGCCTTTCTCCCTTTCTTTAAGTATATACACCGGGAAGGGAGGGTGAGAGTGGACGGACGATAGGCGTTTTTTGCTTCATTTCTTTCATTTTACTGTCCCGCCTACGTGACGGGTGGAATAGAATAATAGAGTAGAAACTTTCCTTTATTAGATGTGCTTTCAAAGAAATGAAGTTTTTCTTTTGGTTTTGAGGTGTTTTGTGAATCTCTCGCCTTGATGCTGCTTATGTCTGTATGAACGTAGCGACTCGCATACAGAAAATAATTAGTTCTGACTTGGAACGTCTATTGTTCGATTCCGTTGACACCACCACATCAGGATTAACGGTGTCATTTGCTTGGAGGGAAAGGGGGCCATATTACAATAATGAGAGATAGAATTGCTAGTGAAAACTCCCATAACATATCTTTCCTGATATTCAACACGTTGGAATTTATATGGTCCGAGGCATATCGTTTCGTTTATTTCGTTGATATTTTACTTTTTTGCTTATTTACCCCTGAAAACCCGACGTGGGCGGAACAACGTTAGCCCACGCCGACCAGGTTTTACTTTTTCGGCGCAGAAAAGTCGAGGCAGCTCAAGCAAACAGACAACAGCAACAACAACAAGAACAACAACAACAACGGGCTCTACGGGATATAGGGCATATAAGGCTGTAAGGACATCTGATTAGGATACGAAAGCAGTATCCCCGGTGCCACCATGAACTACACGTCGATCTGACCCGCCGCCTCAATTCCACACACATATCTATCTCAACCTCCGCCCCAAACCAACCTCCAAACTGCGGAGAACAGCTATCCTCACTCACGATGGCCGCCCCCGTCCTCCCCCTCCCCCAAGTAAAACTCCCCTCAATCCCTTCAACCCGCCTAACCCCCGAGCAACAATACTGGCGCTCCTTCAAAAACCCCCTCCTCCTCCCTTCCCCCTCCAACAGCCCCATAAACCACATCTCCCAACCCTCTGCCCCCTCCGCCCCCTCCTCAACCTCCTCCTTCGCCACCTCCACCGCCCTCAACACAACACCCCCTGACCTCTTCACCGTGACGACAGGCTCCCGCGTCCAACTCCACTCAATCCGTACCCGCAAGCTGCTAAAAACCCTCACCCGCTTCGACGATATCGCTCGCTGTGCCGACATCCGCGCCGACGGCCGCATCCTAGCTGCCTCAGATGATTCAGGCACAATCCAGCTCTTCGACATAAACAGCCGTGCCATCTTGAAGACGTGGCGCGAGCATAGCAAGTTGCCTGTGTGGGCTGTGCGGTTTTCGCCGGCCGACCCGACGGTGCTGGTCAGTGCGGGCGATGATAGGGTTGTGAGGCTGTGGGATTTGCCGAGTGAGAGGAGTGTGAGGGGCTTCGTGGGGCATGGGGATTACGTGAGATGTGCGGGGTTTATGCCGGGGGTGGGAGCTGGGAGCGCGGGCGGAGGTGGAGGGGGGAATTTGTTGTTTTCAGCTGGCTATGATGGGATGGTGAAGATATGGGATTCGCGCGCCACGGGGAGGAGCGTTATGACTTTCCAAATGCGCGGGGCGGTAGAGAGTGTCCTGCCCCTTCTGTCCGGTACAATGGTTCTTGCTACCGCTGAAAACCGAATCGCTGTCCTTGACGTCGTGGCTGGAAAACCCCTGCACATCATAAAAAGCCACCAGAAGACCGTGACAGCCCTATCCCTAGCCTCTGGCGGCCGGCGAGTCGTCAGCGGTGCATTAGACGGGCACATGAAAGTCTTCGAAACAACAGGCTGGAACGTCGTCGGCGGCTCCAAATACCCCTCCCCTATCCTATCTCTCGGCGTAATCACCACCGGTCACGACAGGGAAGACAAACACATCGCCGTCGGCATGCAATCGGGCCTCCTATCCATCCGCACTCGACTATCAGGCGCACAGAAGGTCCGCGAGCGCGAACGGGCGCGAGAAATGCAAGCCCTTCTCGACGGCAAGCTGGATGAACATGACAAGCGCGTGACGAAGCTACAAAAGAAGAAGCGCGGAAGGGGCTGGGAAAAGCGGCTGCGCGGCATGGATTTCATCGGCGAGGGCGTCGATATCGTCATTGATGCACAGGACCCCGCGTCAGCATCTCACAAGCGCAAACGCGAACAGCCCTGGGAACTCGATTTGCGCAAGGGCCGCTACGCAGCGGCCCTCGATGCCGTCCTTTCCACTTCTTCCAAAACCACGGGCGCAAATAACAAGCTCAACATCCTCACCCTCCTCACAGCTCTACGGCACCGGTCGGCGCTACGAGCGGCGCTTTCGGGCCGCGATGAAGTTACGTTGCAACCCATTTTGCAGTGGGTTTATAAATCCATTACGGATCCGAGGGTTGTGGATATTTGTGTTGAGGTTGCGATGAATGTGTTGGACATTTATTCGGGGAATTTGGGCCAGTCTGTTGTTTTTGATGGGCTTATTGAGAGGTTGCATGCTAGGGTTAGGGAGGAAGTGGATCGGGCGCAGCAGGCGTGGATGACGAAGGGGATGTTGGGGATGTTGAGGGTTAGTGCTTAGGTAGTTGGGGGCGGGGGAATCTGGGGATGTTATTGCAGAGATGTTTTTGTGGACTTGGTATTCCGAGGGAATGGAGGGTGTTTGGGAGTCTTGAAGATTTTGTTTGGTTTTCCCTTTTTGTTTTTGTTTTCTTGCATATGGTTGATTTCTATTTAGCGATACTGGTTCTTTGAAAATGGGAAAGCAACATTATATTATAGATGTAGAATAATCTTAGTTCTTGGAGAGGTCCAACTGCTTGAACTAATCATAGGAGCTGAAAATTCGCACGCACACTCCTGAAAAGGCCTGAAACAAAATGCATTCGTATCAAATACACCCACCCACTGCTGCCACTCCTTCACTAGGATAGCCATAGCTTTCGAAAATTTTCTTCGCCAACACAAAGTGTCCCCCTCTATTCTCATCCCCTTCCTCCTCCCCCTTCCCTCGCATCTCCATTCTCTGCATTCTCCCCACAATACTCCCACCCAAACAACCTCGTAAACCCCTCTCCACCCTCCGGCGGCTGCAGCCAATTCCGCTCATCATACCCCCACCCCTCCGCCCCCTCAATAACATGAAAAGTATACGCAAACCGACTCTTCCCACTCGTATTCCTCCCACTCTTATGCAGCACATTCCCATGAATAAGCACCAGCGACCCCGCCTTAACATCCAAGATCTCAAAATCCTCTTCGCGCGGAGTATACGGGTCTGCCTCCTCCACAGCTTCTTCCCCATCAACCAACTCCGTCGCCAACCCCCGCCCCTGCCACTCCACAAACTCCGTCCCCGCCTCACCACCCCCACATCTCACAAACCTCCTCCTCACAAACCCCCTTTTGTGACTCCCCCTCCAGAACCCCAACCCCCCATTCTTGCCACCGGCATCCTGCAACGCAATCCACCACCCCACCGCACTCGGCGGATCCGTATACAAAAACTCACTATCCCGATGCGGCGGTACCGCCGCCCCGATCCCCGGCTGCTTGCATATGACCATGGATTGCAGGACGCGGGGGTCCCGGAAAGCCCAGGTCACGAGCTATGGCGGCGTTGCGGGTGCCGGTGGGATGCGGGGGAGTGGTTGTGGCGGTGAAAGGGGGGGAGAGGGCGTGTAGGGCGTGGCCGATTTTGTTGATGGAGAGGTGTTTGGGGGCTTTGAGGTTGGCGGGAATGTGGAGATTGGGGAGGGGGGGAGGAAGGCCGTCGGCTTCGAAGAAGAGTGGATCGACTTATCCAAGACACCGAGATAGGTGTCGCGATGTGTTTTGCGTTGGCCTCGGTGTCGGAGGTGGTGGAGGTGCCGGTTGTGAAGCGGGTTAGGGGGTGGGTGGAGAGGGGAAAGTCAGAGAGGAGGGTGTTGGTTGTTGTCAGGAGGGCTGTTACTTCGGATTCGCTGAGGTAGTTTTCGAGGACGAGGTAGCCGTTTTCGCGGAAGGAGGAGAGCTGGGAGGCGGTGAGGCCTGGGATGGAGTGAGGAGGAGGTGCAGGGGTTGCGGATGGCATGATGAATGGTCAGTTCGATGAATGGAATAGAAAATAATTTGCTGTAAGCGTGGGCGTAAGTTATTGATATGACAGAGATGATATTGATATGTTGTTGAGGTTGTTTTTGTAGGTTTGTTGTGAAAAAAAAGTGGAGAATTAGTTAAGGTTAAGGTTAAAGTTTAGCGGAAATCTAATCTTATCTTATCTGATCAGGTCTCTGTTCAGTGCAACTACAAGACTGCGTTGGATATTGGCATTAAAGATATATTGTGGAAGTCATGTCACAGATAATATCCCACAGGGCAAATATCCCCGAAATGTTGTAGGTTTATCTCAAGTGTCATTAGAGGTAAAATATCAAAAGATCTTGGGTATCCGAAAAAAATCCAGAACTAAGAACAGCATCTTAAACGCTAAAGCGATGCCACAAATGCAAACCCAGAAGTGTAGAAATGGCCGGAATGCAAAAAATATCCGAGACTCACCAAGGAAATGCGCAAAGGGGGGGAATAATAATTACCAAAAGTTCGCTCACGAGACATCTCTCTCTTCGCTTTCATCTGCGGGTCTCGTTCTGGGGGGGGGGCCAATATCTCCTCTCAACACACCTGGACCTTCAATAGATGTATCAAGCAGAACCTCAACGACGCCAGCTTACAGGAAGCCTAATACTGCCCTCCGAAAATTCCTCCTGGACCCTCTCCACCAAGCCGGGAATCATATACGTCCAGTGACAAACCATGCCCGCCAAAAACCCAATCCCATCGTTCATAAAAGCAACCAGCATCCCGATCGTACCCATCATGACTGTCCACCTTCGCTTCTTCTCTTCGTTGCTGAGAACATTTGTCCCGGCCAACCGTGCATGCTTGGACAAATCCCACGCGCGGGCGGTATTCAAACTCTCCCCCACGCTCGCCAGCTCCAATCCAGCGGCAATAACCATGACGCCCAGAAACGCGGTGGGGAACTGCCGCAGCAGCCCCACAAGCGTGTTGCCAAAGAACAGTCCGACAATCAGCTTGAAGGAGCCGAGGAGGATGATGCTCGACCCGCTGCGGGCTCCGAATCGAAACTGGGCCGCCAGGCCGCCGGAGCCATGGCACACGGGCATCGCGCCGAACCAGCACCCGAGCAGATTCATGGCGGCCACACTAAGCCCGATGGCGGTGGTGGACGGCGTCTCGACCTCCGGCAACAGATCAGCCGCCAGATAGACGACGGCGACGATAGAATTCAGCGTCGTCAGCGGGAGCTGTCCGATGCCCGCATCGATGATGCCGACACGCCACTCATGGCCAACAGGGATGGAGAAGCGCGGATGCCAGATACCGAAGGACGGAAGTCCATGGTGTGACAGGGCCAGCGAGACAAACGCAAACACAATGCCAACCAGGAACACAATGAGAGCGTAGGGGACACGGTCATAGACCGTCGTCAGCGCCAGCACGACCAGCGCGACGATCATCCAGATGTAATTATCCGCCCAGCTGGGCCCGATCCAACCCAGGTGGCCCCTCAAACTCGACCCTGCAGAGATAACTAACGACAGCCCCGCGCCAACCTGTATCCCCTTGACGACGGGCGTGGGCACCACGCGCGCAAACCACTCCAGCAGGCCCGTCACGCTGAACAGCAGGACAACGGCGCCCACAAAGATGCCAGCGGCGGCGATCTGGCCTGGCGAGAAGTGCTTGGCGATGGCGACGGCGGCGATGGCTTTCATGGGCTGGACGGGCAGTGGGATGCCGAAGTAGAGGCCTGTGAAGATGTTGTAGAGGCCGGAGAAGAGGAGACTGGCGGGCAAGGAGATGGTGTCGTTTACGGCCAGGGCGGTGAGGAGGGGGAGGAAGGTGCCCAGGTCGCCAAGGGCGCCGGAGACTTCAGCGAGCGGGAACGAGCGCAGGGTCTGCAGGTTGCGGGAGACATGGCGGAGTTTGGGGAGGGGAAAAGGGAGGGGGAAGTGGAGGCGGCGGCGGCGGCGGCGGGGCATGTCAGCGTGGATTGCAGTTTGGGGAGAGCTATGGACATGGAGGGAGTATGTCTGAGGGAGGATGTGGTGCGGTGCGTTATTTAAGGCCCCAGGTGGGGTGTTGATCCTGGTGGTGCTGCCGCCAGTGGTGGTGGTGGTGGTTGATGTGTGGTGATGCTGCTGCTGTTCGGTGTGGTTGCACAGGCAAATGTTGGACTGGCCGGTTTTGGCAGCAACACGCGAACAACCAACCACCCGCGAGTTCGTCCGTTGGCTTTCGGCGGGCGGTGGCTCTGCCAGATGCGACGCAGCCCCAGCGCCAATCAGAGGAATAGATGTCCACCGCAACCGGCAGACACACACAGAGCATCAGGAGCAGTCGTCCATGGCGGTCAGTGAGCAAGTAGGTAGGTAGTTAGTTACCGTGTCTGCGAGGTGGTGAGCCGCATTTTTGGGCTGAAGCCACCAATCTGCATCTGCCCCCGGGGGACTGTGTGTGTGCACCCCTCAAATTCCCCCCCCCCTGCCCCGCCCACCGGCCTCGCCGTCTCAATGGTATCCAGCGGCGTTTATGGTGGCTGCGAAGGCCTCCCATGCTGATCTCTGGCTTGGCTGAAGCGTTCCACGCATGTCTATCAGGGCAGTCAGAGAAGGGATCCGTCGCGGGAACGCGGTAACTATCTACCATGGCCTGGCCAGCTGGAAGAGCTCTTCATGGGCGACTCCCGCAGCTTGGTCAGGTCGGGGAACCGTTAACCAAATGCTCTGCAGTCCTCAAAGCCCGTGCTTGGTTAGTTACTTAACTACCCAACGGGGCGGTTCCAGCTCTAGAGAGGAGTTACACAGTACTGGGACTGGAGGAATCTACCTGCCCGGTGCGGGCAGTCAAGCGGGGCTACGGTCAAAGCTGCCTACGAGAAGGTACAAGCTCCAGATCTGAAGCGAGAGTACGGGGCCTATTCCGTGCAGACTGGTGTCCGCGAGTCCCCAACGCCCGGGAGAGAACTTCGGATGGCCTTTCAATGGATGGATCAGAGCTTGGTAGAACTCTGTGCATATTTCCCAACCGCGATCAGAGGATCCTGCAGATAGCTTCAAAGGGTGTCTTGGAGGCGCTATTAATTTAGGAGAAGCTGGGTCTGGTTCATACAGGTTGTAGAGCTCACGGTAGAATTGGCAGATCTCGGGGTAACTACGTCTTGTCCCTTCTACATAACTACCACCAATCTTCAAGCAAGCTGCTAACTCAAGCAGCCATACCCGATGGCTTCAACGATGAAAGGATACAGCCCGTACCCTGTCGATCTCAGAGGTATGGAGAGGTAAAGGCTGCTCTCATGCTTCAGATGTGGGGTCTCTAGGTGTCACTGTTGTCCCCCACCCCCTGATGTCTCCCGGCTGTACTGACAGAATGCTGAATAGTCAGTGGATTGCTTATTCCTCCCGCGTCCATCGTTGGCATTTTTAGCATACATGATGATCCC